GTGCGTGGGATGTGTTTGGAGTGGTGGTGGTGGCGGCGGGGGGATGACACCTAATACTCCTCCCCCCACCAGCCACGAGTGTAATGGGAGCTACAGAGCTGCCGGGGAGAGGGAGAGCTGGGTGCGTGCGGTGACAGATCAGACAGACACTGCTCCCGACTCTCTGCTACCTTGTCTTGTCACTGCCACCTGTTCTAGACCTGCTCTGCACAAACCCACCCTGCCCTGGCAGCACCGAAGCCCCCACGCACCAGTGTCAGCGATTACATGGAGCCGGTAGACCCAGACCCAAGTGCTCTGCAAAGCATCCAGCCCCAGCAGCAGCCGCGCTCCCCCACCCCCCGGCAGACAGACCGTGTGTGGCCACGTGTTGGAGCCTGTAGGTAGGAGACTAGAGCCTGGCGTCAGGATTTGCCTTCCCTGCAAATTGGCCAGCAGCTCCTCCCAGCGCTGGTCGTGTCCGGCTGCACCCCCTCCCGTCCTGCCCCATAGCTGAGGCCAGGAGTTCTGAACTGCTCCCAGCTACAGGGGGGTGGGGGACATGGTACAGGAGAGGATAAATAATCAGCTTTTATGCTCCCAAGGGCCTCACAGGTGAGAAACGCAAGGATCCCTCACCTACTGCTAAATGCAGCTGTCTCTGGGGTGGAGCATGGAGGGAGGGCATGTAGGATTTTGGCTGAGAATCACAGGGCAAACCTGTGGCTCTCTCACAAAGCTGCACCGTGGCATCTTTAACGCAAGGAGCAGGGCTTTGACGTGCTGGCCCCCGAGTCCTGCGCAGGGAGGGGGCTGTGTGTGATTTCCTGGGGAGGAGAAGGGCCAAGCTGGCCCTGCCAGGGTTCGCCCCTGTGGTTCCAGGGAAGCCGGGGAAGCCGTCCCCTCTGGGAGAAGGGCAGTAAGAGAGAGGGCGAGAGCTGAAACGAGAGAGAAAGTAATGGTGGGAAAGTCTCAGACAGAGACAGGAGGATTAAGGAGGGGTTAAGCCTGTTATGTAAGGTTCTGCCTGGCGGGGACCTGCCAGCGAGGGCTGGAGAGAACCTGCCCCAGCTCCGCTCCCCGAGCCAGGCTCCTGCACATGGCAAGACGGGGTCAGCCTGGGAGAAGGAGGAAGAAGCTGGAGCAGAGTCTCTCCTTTCTCTGTGCATGCCAGGGAACCGCACAGATCAGGGCAGGCAGCCCATGGGCCCAGCCCCTTCCCCTCTAGCCAGGCTTAGCCTCAGCCCGAGGCAGGGAAAGGGCCGATCCCAGCTGAGCACGGTGCCAGTGGGCAACGTGGCAGGGGAGACTGGCCCCGGCGAGCTGCAGCCTTGCGCACTGGCGTGTGAGCTAGTGTCCGTGTGGGGGGCAGGGCTGTACACCCGGCTGCTTATGCGCGTGCCTCAGCCAGTGCCCGCGGTGCAATGCCTGGACGAAAGAAACCAACAGCCTGAAAACTCTCCTCCTGCCGCTCAGGGGTAGACCGCCAGGCAGGAAAAGGTGAGTCCCCCCAGACCCCTGACCGCTCTCGTCCACTTCCAAGCCTCCAGCACGGGGGCAGGACAGCACGGACCTGGGTTTGCATCTGCGCAGGGCAACGGCCTGCCTGACCAGGGATGTATTGGGGGGCAGCTGGAGGCCCTCCAGAGGACACAATTCCTGGCTACAGCTGGGCATTTTCAGGCAGCTTCCCCAGTCCTGCCTCCCATGGATCAGCCCCAGAGGCCAGACACTCTCGTACTCAGCCATGATCTGACGCCTACGGCTGCCCCATCCCTTGGTGTAAGACAGGGCCTTTGGGTGGGGGAACGAGCAGACGTCCCAGCACAGAACAGGCAGGCACTGAGCCACCCGGCTGCAGACTCACCCACCAGGACTCTGAAACCTGACCCCCTTGGCTCTGCAGCCCCACGGATGGACGGAGGGGCCCTGTGCTTGCCTGACTCCTGCCTTGGCCATGCCGCAGCCAGTTCCTTCCTGGTTGGTTGGGGAGGAAGGGCGGAGAGGGATAGAAAAAGCGACCAAGGGGCTGAGACGAGATCTTGGAATGAAATCCAAGTGGAAAATTACCAGCCTGGTCCGATGTGCTCACACGATGGGCTGTGGGCGGCTCAGCCCTGGGCTGGGGCTTTGGGGACATGATGTCTCTGATCTGTACCTAGGGTATGAAATGCTCCACTGCCCGCTTCACAGGTCACCAGAAACCAGCAGCCAGGGAAATGCCACCGAAGGCTGCTGCACCCTCCCTGGCTAAAAAGCCCCTCGCCTAATGGTGCCACTGAACGGATCCATTGTCCCACACGGCCCAGGGCATCCAGCCGAGGCATCTCAGCAGAGAGGAAAGGGACTGGATGTTCCCAGTGACGGTCACATGGGAACAGGCCCGTGGAGAGAAATTTGGGTCTTCGGTACATCGTGTTTGCTTCCTATTTCACTTAATTTATATGGATGTTACAGATGTTCTGGGGCACCCCTGAGCTTGGGGCCCCAGTACAACTGTCCACCCATTCTCCCTCTCATCAGCCCTGCATGGGAACCCTGTTGTCCAGCCCAGGTGCCCAGCCCCGAAGCCCCTGGGAGAAGTAGGGCACAGGGAGCTCCAACATCGCCCAGCTGGGAGGGGCGCGGTTGGGTTCTGGGAACAGGACCGTGTCCCCATCGCGTATGGTACAGTAAGTGGCACACACCGAACCAGCCGCCCCAGATGGGCGTCTCTGCAAGCGCTGCCCGGTCTGGGTGATGTCACCGGAGCGCCTTTTGCCAGCAGGGCTGATGTGGGTGATTCGTGACAGCAAAGATTGTGCGGGGGAGGGGGGGGGAGGGGGCGGCAGAGGCAGCAGGTGTGGTGCAAATGTCTCACATGCAGTCCTGCCTGGCAACATCCCCTGCCACGCCAGCCCTTGGCATCCCACGCACAGCTCTGCCAATGCCCCTCCCGCCTGACCTGCCCTCTCCCCAGCCTGCTGGGACCACCGCTCCAGAGCCGGCAGGCTAGGTGTCCCAGGCACCCAGAAACTGGCAGCTCAGACCCGCTACCGGCGGGATGATTAAGGGGTTGTTGCGATGGCACGAGGATGCAGCATCAGGGGAGCTGATGCCCCCCCTGGCAGCAGCGGGAGGGGATGGGTTTGACCCCCCAGCTGTCACAGGGCAGCCACAGGGCGAGGATGTCTGGCTAGGCTGGGTCCCTGGAACAGGACTCCCGGGAGAACTCGGCCCTGCATAGCCTAGGCCAGAGGGGGAGGCTTGGATTGCCCCTAATTAGGTTGCTGCGTCCATCTCGCGTTCTCTCCCAGGCTCCAATCCCCAGAGCTTACATAACAGTTATAATTGTTTAATGTCAGCTTTGGCGCGCGCGCGCACACACACACAGCATGTCAACAGGCAGCTGAGAAGCAGCTCAGGGCACACCTAGAAATCTGTCTCGGGAGTACGTCACAGCAAGAACCCAGTGTCCCCTCTCTGCCCTGCCTCTTCCCAGGGATCTGTGCACGGGGAGGGCGAGTGAACCAAACGTGTGTGCACAGGCATGGAGTGTGTGTGTGTGTATGTGCACATGACAGTGGAAGCTTACGTACGTGCGAGCGTGTATGTTTGCATGCACAGTTTTGTGCTCTTGCTTGTGTGTCGGCGTGAGCATGTGCACGCACGTGCATTCATGTATGTTCATGAGTGCGTGCGCATTCATGTGTACGTGCGTGCATGTCAACCTGCCTAACGCAAGCACTCAGCAGGGCACGGGGAATCGGGCTCAGCGGAGGATCCGATGGATTCTCTCCATTCCGTTAGCAGACCCTAAGGCACCAGGGGCTGCCAGAAACTAGCCATCCCGGCCGGGGTCTGGGCCGTGTGTGACGTGCACACAGGTTTCATGCAGGAAGCAGGTGCCCTATCACAGCTGCCCCAAGCAGGCTCTGTGCCCTGGGACGGAGCCCACAGACCTCGGGTCCCACCCTGCAGCCACGGGCTGAATCCTTCCCGTGGGTGATGAGAACCAGATCAAAGGATTGAGGGGGGTGGGGGCATTGCTGCCAAGGCCCCCCCCCCCCCCCCGGGGGGAAAACCCCTCCTCACTTTGAGTGAGCAAGAGATGCTGTGAGCAGACCCCAGCCCGAGTCCTCACTGGGATGAATCAATCCTGCCCATTCCCTCTACTACTGGAGGGGACAAGACACATGAGGGGGCGTCAAGTGGTTTAAAGCCCACAGGCACTGCAAATCTAGCCCACCCCTCTCCCGAGGGAATGTGAATCTGGGAGGTGCAGCTTGGGATCAGGGACTCCCCACCCTGCCCCCCAGAGACAGGGGAGCCCCGTCTCTATGCACCGCCCATTCAGTCCTTAGCCTCACTGCCCAGACTGCCAGTAAGGGGGCCGGGCAGTGCCAGCAGTGTGGTAGTTTCAGAGATGGGAACTCGACAGAGCTGCTAACCTCACCGCACACGGGGGTATTTGTGCAATGTCCTTGCACCATTTGATACCACCACCTAGCTCTTCTCTAGCACGTTCATCAGCAGATCTCAACGCACTTTACCACAGGGGTTGGGATCATTCTTCCCAAGGCACGGGGAGGTTAAAGTGACTTGCCCAAGGTCTCCGCGCAGGCCAGCGGCAGAGCCCCAGCGTTCTACCCACCAAGCCACACCACCCGCCTGAGCCAGGGCCGGCTGGAGAACGCAGTTCGCAGAGACGCAGTGTGGATCAGCCATGGGCAAGAGGACGTTTTGTTCCAGCCCCATCAGCGAGTCCAGCCTGGCTCACACCCACTCCGCTGCATGACTGTGGGGCTGTATCACCCTGAGTTGCCACCCCCATAGCTATGGGCTGAGCTGGGAGTGGGGCATGCACAGCATTTGGCTCCAGGTGTGGCTTCTCCCCAAGAACACCTCACCTGTTCTTCCACCTGTGCCCCACGGGCAGCCACTCTTCTCCCTGTCCCTGCTCCCCATCAGCAGCCCCGCGAGGTTACTCGCCCTCACCCCCAAACACACGAGATCCCCCGTGCCGAGCCGGCAGCACCTACCGAGGGGTCCCTGGCTGGGGAGTCCGTCCGGCTCTCGCTCCTCTCCCACGGCTGGCTGGGGCAGCGGCTGCTGGGCCGGAACATAGGGGTGATCACTTCTTGGGTGGGACTGCGGGGGTAGCCGGGGGTGCGGCTGCCCTTCCTGCTGCAGGACTCCAGGTACTCCTTGACGTACTCGGAGCGGCTGGCGGCCTGATACAGGCTCTGCAGGGCGCAGAGCTCCTGGCGGTTGCGGGCAAGGAGCGGGGTGCGGGTGGGTGAGTCCAGGCGGTAGGGTTCGGAGGCGTGCAGCCCGGCGAACTCCCGTGCCAGGTCCGAGTGGCTGCTGGACTTCTTGCGGCTGAGCGTGGACGGTGTCGCCATGTAGCTGGTGGGGCTGATGGACGTACCGGTGTAGGCGTAGCATGCTCCCCCGTTCAGGCCCCCGCTGCCCAGAGGCCTGGCTAGTGTGTGGCCATAGCCGGGGCTCAGCCTGATGCCAGACTCTGGGCGCAGCGCCAGCCGGCCCGCGTCGTAGCTACTGGTCGGGGAGGCGCCCGAGGTCCGCAGCCGGCTGGAGGCCAGGTAGCTGCTGGGGGGGCTCGGCTTGAAGCTGACCCTGTCCTTGTCCGGGTACGAGGAGGCGAAGCTGGAGCCGTAGGAGGAGTAGGAGCCGTAGCTGGTGGGGGATTTACTGTAGGAGGCAGCGGGGTAGCGGGAGGTGTCTCCATAGCGCTTCAGCGGGGAGGAGAGCTGGGACATCCTGGAGACTGGGGCTCCGGGGGCACCGCCGGTGGCATTGACTGCAAAGCAAGAGCACAGAGGGCACCTTGAGTTCCTGCCCCAATGGGCACCCACCCCAACACACTGCACACAGCCTGACCCAGGCTTGGAAGCTGGGGGGCTGGACTCCCTGTCCTGGCGACAGACAGGGGCTAGAGACCTGGGATCTCTCCCCCCCCTTATTGAGAAAAGGCTGGAGACCCCCTTACGAGCCAGCATTCAGGGCAGGAGACCCCTGCTATGGGAGCATGGAGATGACTTAGCCAATGTAGCTGTGGGAGACTAAGAATCTCTGCCCGGGAGAGACAAACATCCCTCTCCAACTGCCCGGGAGAGAACCCCCCGAGCCGGGCACCAGAGGAGCTGGGCTGTGCGGGGGCAGGGCTCCACAGCTGGTTGGAGCCCTGTGCTGGATATGGCCAAATCCCACGCACGGCAGCGCGGGCGCACTCCATGGCAGCGGGACCTGGCTGCGTGAAGCCACGTCCATCAGGCGCCCCGTATCCTGAGGGCTGGCAGGGGTAGGCTCAGCCGTGGCACAGCTGGGTTCTAGAGGGGGTTATGGTGGGTGGGACGGGAAGGGGGATGCACTTGTGTGAGGCAGACAGCAGAGAGGGGCCAATAGGGGGGTGGGATCCAAGAGAACCCCAGCCAATCCAAACCCAGCCCCCTTCCTAAGTCCGCAGTGCTAGTGTGGCACAGGCTCCCGGGATCCAGTTCCCATTCAGGGCAGATGCTCAGCACAGAGGGCGAGCGGAGCAGACTGAGCCACGCGATCCCCACAAACATGAAACCTGCTGACCCCACGGCAGGGAAGGAACCACCTTTCTATGGGGCTGCATTTTAGACCCACTTTGCGCTGGGGCCAACGGAGACCCAGCGTGCAGGGCAGGGTCGCCCATTCAGAGGATGATGAGCTAGGTGACTTAATAATGCCCCAGGCCCTTTATGCAATACTGCAGCAGGTCAGTGAGCGTGTGTGTGCGTGCACAGACCTATCTGCGTGCACACACCTATCTGCGTGTCACTGTGTGTATGGAATTCCTTCCTGACCCCATTCAACAGTCCACTTAAGCCTTGGAGCATGAGAGTGGCTGACAGATTTATGGCTTCTCATGTTATCATTATCCCAGGACAGTCCAACCTCCCCCATTCCCCTCTCCAGTACAGCCACAACACTTGACTCGGTAATCTCTGAGGCTTAGAGCTCATTATATTCACTGCTCCCAATCAGGTTCAAATCCAGCCTGGCGGGGTGGTGACTGAGAGCTGGTCCCGGCTGACAGCCATTTGGTGGCCACATGGGAAATGAGTTCGTCAGGTCTCAGTCCAGCTCCCAGGGGACATAGCGCACCACCAGAAATGCTGCTAACTGACCCTTTGTGGGCGGACTCAGCGGAGAAACCAAGGACTGAATGGGTCGTGAAACCCCCCCTCTCATTCCCAGCCCATTCCTAGCTCTGAGGTTCCCCCCAGAATCTGTCACCGAGACCCCACTATATCTGGAGAGATGGTGAGGAAATTCCTGGGATGCATGGCTGCACCCCCACCCCAATCCTGGAGCACTCACCCTGTCCCCCCCCCGACACGGGGGAGGAGGGGACGGAGAGGGGGCAAGGATCTCACACATGCTGGGGATGCCCTGTCCTCTCAATTAGACAGAAAGCCAGCGACCTCTTGCCACAGGGGGTGCTGCAGAGATGCAAGCGAGCGGCAGAGACAGAGCAAGCAGCAGGGACAGATGGCAGCAGAGAGCAGGAGCCTAAACAGAACAGGATTCTCTGCGGGCTCGTTTACAGCAGCCAGCGCCCTGCACCGCACAAGGCAGAGGGGCCTGCTTCTGCCCAGAGGCCCCCGGTGAACAGAGATCAGGGGAGGAGAGGTCACGCTGTGCTCTTCTCCCTAGAAAGTTTAGGGAGCAGGGAGAGATTTTCCCAGCACCTACAACTCAAAGTGTTTTCTGGGTAACAGTAATAATAGTGCCTTGCTTTACTGAGCTGGGATTATTCAGAGATGCTTCTCACACACAAGGCTTGAATCCGAATCTCTCCCAAAGTTGAGGGAGGTTTGGGGCGTCAGGCACGCCTCTAATGTTATCACCCTCCCGCAGATAGGGAAACTGAGGCACGCAGAAGGGCAGGGACTCTGTCATCTGATGGGTGGGACGCTGGCCGCGACCTCCTCCTGGGGCAAAGGCTCGAACGCCAAGGCTCCCGGAGCCCTGGGAAGATGAAAGGGTGTCATACACCCGCCAAGAGTCATTACGGCTAGCCTGGCAGAGAGATGAGGGGCAGCCCACAATCCATGCCGCCCGCCCTCCCTCTCCACGGCACCTGTGCCCACTGGTTTCACAGCTGGGGTGTGTGCGGGGGGGGAGGGGGGGAATGTGACTGCAAGGAAGAGTGCGTTCTCCTCCCTGTCCCATGGAGAGGCAGGACAAGTGTGGCTGGGATCTTCGTGAATGGAAAGGGATAAGGGAGAGAGAGAAAAGAGCAGGGAGGAAGAAGGAAGTGCGGGAGGGTGAGCCCGTTCCCCAGCGCGAGGACTTGCGGGCTGGAGCCACTCAGCCCAGGCGCTCTGCTCTGCTGCATCTGACCCCGCTGAGAGCTAGCTGCTCCCATCAATAATTCAGCACCACGCACAAACTCCAGGCTGGAGCCAGCAGCTGGAGCCAGTCCCCCTGCCTCCCCACACCAGCCTGAGTGAGCCAATGGGATGCCCAGCCTGAACGGGTTTTCATGGGGGATAATTTCATCAGCTCAGACCCCCACCGCCACCGCCAGGCCTGCCCGGGGCCTTGGTATTCCAGAGGCAGAGTCTCCACTCTCTAGCAGCTGTGACATGCAGCCGAGCGGGCTGGAGATGCCATCGCAGTCTGGGTGGCCAGAGGCCTGCAGGAGAGCAGTAGGATGGGCGTGCTGAGCTGGGGGGACGGCTGGAGAGCTCAGAGCTAGGCGGTGATGGCCAAGCCCCAGCTGCTGCAGCAGCTCCATGGACTAGGCAGCTCTCAGGGGCGGGAAGTTTTTGCCACCGTGGGAGCCAAGGGTCTAGTTAGGACTGTGCATTAGCATCATGGGAAGCTGAGTGTGCAGCCCTCCTTGGGACGGTGGGGGGCTGCACCTCCAGGGGGGCATCAAGCACCAGCCGGGGCTGCCCTGTCCCAAGGGTCTGGCCAGCTAGGCTCATCTCTGGCCTCAGCATCGTGCTCCATCCAGAAGCCAGCAGAGAGCAAAGAGGAGCTCGGATCAGTCCTGAGCAGAGAGCCTCCACTGGGCCGGCATGCCTGGTGCAGACGCCGTCCCAGGGCTAGCCTAGGGGAACTGGGCCCAGACAGCGCAGGGTCCCATGGAAGGGCAAGGACTGAGTCCCCCTCCTCCCATGGCTCCCCAAGCACTGCACAGACACTAGTCCCATTCCACGCATGGCGAAACGCAGGGAAGTGACTTGCCCAAGGCCACCCAACAAGTCAGGAATAGAACCCAGGAGTCCTGAGTCCTAGTGCCCAAAAGCACACTGTACACCACGGTCAGATGGGAACAGGCCGTGAATGCCACACATGTCAGGGGCTCTCTCCCCAGGGCACCCTCTGGGCCTGCCCATGTTCACCCCACCAGCTGCCCAGAGATATAAACAGATCCCAGCAGGACATGAACGGCCATTCCTAGAAGCCGAGGAACTTACAACTACTGGCGAGGAAGGGGCCCCGGGGCCCAGGCTGGAGTATGGCCAGCACAAGACACCCCCTCACAAGCCCACCAGTGGCACTCAGGCCCCTCCAGAGGAGATACCCACAACAAACACCATTCAAGCCTTGGGTAAAAGTCCTGCCTAGCTCAGCCGATCAGCTTCAGCCCCTAGACAAGCTGGGGCTGCCTCGGAAACGGGCCCTAACCGGGAGGGAACTTTGCTCCTGGCACGGATCCACTGGGTCAGAAAGCAGCTGGCACAGGGCCGGGGGGGACGTTACACCAGATGGGGCTCTGCCTGGTCCCCAACCGGCTCCAGGGATTTACCTGGTGACTGAGGGGCAGAGGGAACTCCGGGACATCTCCTCCAGCCCTGTTGCTCCCTCCCTTCGCTTGTTTTCCTTCACTTGCAGGACAGCGGCTCACATGGCTGAGAGTCTCCGGTCACCAGGGAAACCACCCTGATTCAAAGCCCTTTCAAGGCAGGCTCTCCACGCACCTGGACGTGCTCCAACCTGGCGCGCTTGTGGCGGGTGACAAGCACAGACATGCTGCCCTCTGCTCGGCCGCAGGGCACGGCCTGGGGGATGTGGCCCACACCCCTCGTAAGCCCCAAGCTTGTGCAGCACCTCATCTCAGGGATCTCAAAGCACTTTGCAAAGCCATTCGTTTGCAGCGCTCCCCCACGCCCGGGAAAAGAGTAAGCTGCTCTCACGCCTGTGGCACGGGCAGCCAACGAGGCCCAGGGAAGTGAGGTCACATAGCAAGTCACTGACGAAGCAGAGATGAGAGCTTAGGAGACTCTAACCACTACAGCACACTCCCTCTCGGAGGCAGAAGTAGAACCCACGAGTCCGGACGCCCAACTCCACGTTCTCACCACTAGACAGCACTCCCCCACTCAGAGCCAGAAACAGTACTCAGGAGTCCCAACTCTGTGCCCTCTGCTCTAACCACCAGGCCCCACTGCTTCCCACATACAGCAACATTAAAGACCTCCTTGTCTCTCTAGCCAAACCACTCGTGGGGGAAAAACTCCCCCAACTTTCTGCACCGAAACCCCCAACCCCGCCCAGCAGATGCCTCCGTCCTTCCCAAGCCTGCTCAGTTGGCTAGGTCATCCCCCGAGCAGGTGCAGCGGAGAGGCCTCGGGAAGCCACGCTCCATTTAAGGCACCCAGCACCAGCTCAGCCCTCACGACCGTGTGTCCCTACACCCAGCGGTCTCTCACCTGGCCTGGTCCCAAGGGGCTGGGCCATCCTGTTGGGAATTGAGAGGGTCTCAAGCTTCAAAATTCACCTCCAGATTCCGAGCTCCCTCAAATTCTGGGGCGTCTGGGTCCCCTGGGGTTTATGGTTCACCCCTTCTGAAGCATTTGGGTCCCTGCCTAGGAATCAGCACTAGTCAGTCCCTAACCCTGCATCCCAGGCAGCGAGAGATTCAGCCCCGGAGGCCCCATTTCCAAGTGCACACTCACCCTACCCCACTGCACCCCCCCCCAAGGCAGGGGTTCGGCCGAACAGAGCTGCACCCTTCAGCCCCACCGCCGCTGATAATATGCACTCCGGATTTTCCACTGGCAGCCGAGTGAAACTGAGCCGGGGCCGGGGGTGAAATTGGAGTCAGCTGGAGGGAACATTACAGATCCACAGGGAGATGAGCCATTTCACCTGCTGGGTTAACCTCGTTCAGGCGCTCGATTGGTCCCGGGCTCAGCAATGCCTCAGGGAGCTGCCAGTCACCAGTGAGATGAGTTTCCCAGCCTCAGCCCATGCAGCGACAGAACACAGACCAGGAGCACCGCACAGTCAGCCTCTACACCTAGACCTGCGGCAGGCCAGTCTGGCACACGGAACCACTCCAGATCCAGTCCAGAACTAGTCCCACTTGTGGAAACACTTCACCTCCGATCCGGGAATTTACCTGAGATCCTCATCCCCATAGTATATTCTCTGGGGGATCTAGCTGCTCCAACCCAGAACCTTTGGTCAGCTGTGAAACCACATCCAGCTGCACTGGCCCTCTGGCAAGGTTGCCAGCTCTCTTGGCGTCCTGCTTTTTCCACGCAGTCGTCATCCCAGAGTAAGCGGGAAACTATTTACGAGCAAAAGCAAGCCCAAGTGCACAAACCTGTTGGGCAAGGAGGCTTCGAGGTGAATAATCCCCCTGCAGGCAAATACTCGAGCGAGACGCCTGGCTCTTCCCTGCCAGAGCTCAGCCCTTTTTACCATGAGCAGGAGGCCAGACGGGCTGGGCTTCCTAGCTGAAGCCTTCATCTGCATAGTGGAGATTTTGCTTCGAGGAACGCAGCTACAAAGATGCCACCTGCACCTGACAGAGGGGCACCAACATAGGGCACAAGGCTTTGGTACCATCTAAATCCCGTGAGAACCCAGCATAGACCCCCCTGCTCCCTGGCCATGCCATGGGAGCCCAGCCTGGAGCCGGCTCCGATTTTGCAGTGCTGAATCCGGAACAGACTCCTCAGTGCACCACAACTATAGGTGCTGGCACAGATCCATGCGTGCCAGGGACTGTCTGGCCCTGGCCTAAGCCTGCATCATTCGCTCTTCCCCACTGCGCCCATATCTCTGACCTCCATTTCCGCGTCTTCGAAAGCACCCTTCATGCCAGAGGCCATGCCACGCTCTCACCTCAGTGCCCCTCTGCCCAAGCCAATGGAAGTGCATAGTGATAAACGAGGGGCTGGATTTACCCCTTTGGCATGCCGCGGTCACTTCCCTCGCCCTTAAAAAGCAGCCACCTCTGGGGCGGAACACAGCAGCTGATCTACAACAGCGAAACTGCTTTTAGAAAGAACACAATATGCCTTTGAAATGAAAGGGGGTAGGGGCTGTGAGAGTATGGGGCTGTGTGGAGATGGATTTAGCGGGGGCCAGGATGGGTTATTCTCCAAGGACACAGGCTAACACACCTCAAGGCTTGCCAAATGTGCCAGAAGATCTTAGAAGATCAGAGGGGGCAGCTCCCCAAGGTTACGCTTCATGGGAAAGTTTTCCGCGTGCAGGAAAGAAAGTCCTGCCCCATAGGACCTGTTCTACCCACCCTACCCCAGGAGGGTCCCCCAGCTGCTTACCGTCTAGGACTGCCACCTCTACAAGAGCTGCCTTCCCTGTGGGATTCACAGGGCCACGTCACACCATCCTGGGGCCCAGGGCTGCAAGAGACAAGCCGAGCACACTGTGAGAGCCGGGAGAGGAGAGCCGAGGTGTGAGAAACTGTCTGGCCGAGCGGCACTCTCCCCAGTGGCAGCGCTGCCTTTGCACGCACGGCACCTCTCATCCTCAGCAGACACCGGTGACTCAGCCTTGCACCGCCTCCGCGAGGCAGGGACACCCCATCATTAGCCCCATTGCGCAGCTGGGGAAGTGGAGGCACAGAAAGATGAAGTGTCTGGGCTAAGCTCACGGGGTGAGTCAGTGGCAGGGCTGGGACAAAGAACCCAGGAGTCCTGGCTCCACATGTACCGCTTCCACCACCCTGCTCCCTCTCAGGTCTATGTTAAAGCTAGGGGACACTAGAGAGCCCGGGCACAGCTCCATTCAGTACAGGCAGCTACTGCCTCCTTCCATCGCCCCAGACTGCCCCCTTCTCCCCCTTACCTTCCATTGTCTCCACATGGGGCAAGGACATATGGGACGGGGGGAGAGGGGGCTGTGCGACTCCTCCCCTGCAGCGGGAAAACTTCTCTAGGTTCCATGCACAATGCAGACGACAGTCCCTTCCATGAGGACTTTGTCCAGGCCAGGGAGATCCTGTCTGGACACCAGCCAGCTGAGGCCGGGTCAGTCAGACTGGGAGCTAGAGAGCCAGAGAGAACCGCAGGGGCTGCCTGTGTCCCGCAGCCGAAGCCCCTTCATACGATTGTCATTACATCAGAGCATCCCGCAAGGGAGCTTTCCTAAGCCCTGTCCAGGAGAGCTCAGGTCAGCCCCAGGCTGTTCCTCCACCCAGACTGTGGGCTGAGCTCCCCCTGGGAGTCCTGTGACCCCAGCCCCTGGCCTTTAGGGGCCTGGAGACTACTTTCTGGGGCAGAGGAATGGGGGGCTGGCCTCTCCTTGGAGCCAAGGGCAGGAGCAGAGCCGGCCAGCTGGGCCTGACACAGAGGTGACCCTGCAGTCTTTGCAAACCTGCAGCATTGGAATGCAGCAGCCAGAGGGAAAACAAATACCCACAGCAGCTCATCCCAGAGGAGCCGCAGGGCAGGCCCCCAGAGGGGCATCACCTGGGCCAAATGTCTGCACAAGCCTTGGAGACTGTGCTCCCCCCTCAGAGGGGCCCCTCCCAGGCAGGCTGAGGAGCATCAGTAGCTTGCTGCAGGACAGCTTTCCTTTTGGGGTGAGTTGTTTAGTGCCTGGAGGGGGTCAGGAAGGAGCAGGGAGCCCCCCAGAGCGAGCCAGGGGCATGTTATGCCAGCAATTCCTCCAGCTGGTTTGATTTGTCCATTCTAAGGTGGCCCCAGAAACCTCCTCCCAAGATCAGCGAGAGAGTTGCCAAGGGGATGCAGTTTGTCAACAGATAAGAAAACACACTTAAACCCTCCCGTGCTCCCTGCCAACAGCCCAAGCCCAGCCCTCTGCCCGCAGGGCTCCAGGAGGAATGACAGTGACACCGACTGGCTGCAAATGATTTTGGTAGTGGGGCAAGTGACAGCCCTGGACTCCGGTCAGCCACAGAACAGGGACAAGGTGGGTAGCAACAGGGCAGGCTTCCTACCTATGCCCCTCCGGCCTGCCCTAGAAATAGGTGCAAGAGCCCAGCTCAATTCCATGCTCTGTCCTGTCTCTCTGGCCCCCATCACTCACGGCAGTGTCTAAGCACCTCACAATCTTCACTGCATTTATCCTCACCACATCCCTAGTGTGGTGAGGAGGGGAGTGCTGTTATCCCCAATGTAGAGATAACAACAATACCCAGCTCTTGTCAGCCGTAGCTCTCAAAGCGCTTTACAAAGGCGGTCAGTATCATTATCTCCATTTAACTGATGGGCAAACTGAGGCACCAGCAGGTGAAGTGATTTACCCAAGGTCACCCAGCAGCAGAGCTGGGATTAGACCCCATGTCTCCTGAGTCCAGGTCCAGTGCACTACCCTACCCATGAGGCAACACTGCTGAGTAAATGACTTGTCCAGAGTGACCCAGGAAGTCTGTGGCGGAGCAGGGAACTGAATCTGGGTCTCCCAAGTGCTAGGCTAAAGCCCTAACCACTGACCACCCTTCCTCTGTTGTAGATGCTAATTAACATCCGTTGCAATGGTGGCTGTCAGCACAGGGACTTGCCCACTGAGAATGAGGCAGAGACCCACCAACTCTCTTCACGTGTGCCACCTAACAGCTGGTAGT